TGCTACCAGCCCAGCGTGATATACCTTTCTGATCAATCATCCAGGTTGTCTTGGGTTGGAAATTTGCTTCACTCTGTCTTTTTGTGGGTTCTGCTGCTTTAGAATTTGTTTAGAGCCATTTTTTATAGGTATTTGGAGGGACTTGGGGGAGAGCTCAAGCAAGTCACTGCTTTCACTCTGCCATCTATGAAAGATGAAATTTCATTCCTCTTCTATGGACCTGTGATATCATCAGTGTGGGTACTCCTACCAATGGTACAGATTGCAATTCATTCATGGCTTCTAATCTTGTGGAACATGTCTATGTTTTCCCATAAATCATCTACAGAGTACCCAAACACGGTATCGAGAGCCTTCCTAACATTAAACAGGCACTAATGAAGCATACGTATTATTACTATTTTTTAAAAAAGGCTATCAAGTAAGAACCCACTCTTTGAAAAAAACTGCTGGGAAAACTGCAAAAGTATATGGCAGAAACTAGGCATAGACCCAAATCTCACACCATTATACCAAAATAAAATCAAAATGGGTTCATGACTTAGATATAAGGGCTGATACCATAAGTAAACTGGGAGAACAAGGAATAGTTTACCTATCAGATCTATGGAGAACAGAAGAATTCATGACCAAACGAGAGATAGAGACCATTATGAAAAGCAAAATGGATAATTTTGATTACATTAAATTGAAAAGTTTTTGCACAAACAAAGCCAATGCAACTAAAATTAGAAGGAAGGTAGAAAATTGGGAAAGAATTTTTACAACCAGTCTCTCTGATAAAGGTCTCATTTCTAAAATATATAGAGAATTAAGACAAATTTATAAGAATACAAGCCATTCCCCAATTGATAAATGGTCAAAGGATATGAACAGACAGTTCTCAGATGAAGAAATTAAAGCCATTTATAGTCATATGAAAAAATGCTCTAAATCGTTATTGATTGAGAAATGCAAATCAAAACAACTCTGAGGTACCACATCACACCTATCATATTGGCCAACATGACAAAACAGGAAAATGATAAATGCTGGAGAAGATGTGGGAAAAATGGAACACTAATACATTGTTGGTGCAGTTGTGAAATGATCCAGCCATTTTGGAGAACAATTTGGAACTATGCCCAAAGGGCTACAAAAATGTGCATACCCTTTGATCTAGCAATAGCACTTCTAGGGCTATATCCCAAAGAGAGCAAACAAATGGGAAACGGACCCACATGTACAAAAATATTCATAGCAGCTCTTTTTTGTGGTGGCAAAGTATTGGAAATTGAGAGGATGCCCATTAACTGGGGAATGGCTGAGCAAGTTGTGGTATACGAATGTAATGGAATACTATTGTGCTATAAAAAATGATGAACAGGGTGACTTCAGAAAAACCTGGAAAGACTTATATGGTCTGATGCTAAGTGAAGTGAGCAGAACCAAGAGGACTTTGTACACAATAACAGCCACATTATGCGATGACTAATATTGTTAAACTGAACCCTTCTAAGCATTACAAGGATCTAAGACATCTCCAGAGGCCTCAGGACGGAAAATGCTGTCCACATCCGAAGAAAGAACTATGGAAGTCGAATCACTATCACTTATTTTTACCTACTGTTGAGTTTTGTTTCATCTTTCTGATGGTTCCTCCTATTGATTTTAATTTTTACTTACAACTTCACTAATGTGAAAATATGTTTAATGGGTATGTAAATGTAAAGCCTATATCAGATTGTGCACCGTCTTGGGGAGGGTGGGGGGGAGGAAGGGGGAGAAAAATTTTCAACTCAAAAGCATATGGAAGTGATTGTTGACAAATGAAAATAAATTAATAAAATTAAAAAAAATTAAAAGGCTATCAAGTACAAAGCCAGACCCCGGTCTGTCCCCATTGGCTCCACAGGACTCCCGACACTCCCTCCTCTCCTCCGCACTGTGGGTGGGTGGCAGGACAGGCATGATGGACACAGTATGAGCGTAAGAGATGACAACAGCAACAGGACAAGAAGTTCTCAACCCGTACCACAGGCTTTCAGGCTTGCAAGGAGGTGGTACGTAACACTGGGGCAGATGGGAGACACCATCAGAGAAAAGCAGTACGTTATAAATGAAGCCAGAATGTTGTTTCAGAAAAACAAAAATCTTACAGATTCAGAACTAATTACACAACATATAGATGAATGCACAGCAAGAATTGAAATAGGACTGCATTATCAGATCCCATATCCAAGGCCAATTCCCCTGCCTCCAATGGCCCTCACTCCCCTACAGAGTTGTGGACTTCAAGCCCAAGAGAAGCTAAGAAAATGTTCCAAACCATTACATCTCAAGTCTCACAATGAAGTTTCTTAATCTAAGAAATGGGTTCTCTGTATGAACTGTGAGCCAGGCAGGGCCTGAGCACAAACTAGATGATGAATCTTTTCTATTTAAGTCCAGTCAAAGAAAGGAAGGACAAAGAATACAGAGTCTTCGCTGTAATTTCTCTTAAACATTCAAAGATTTGAGCCCTTATTCTCAATAACACTAATTTAATGTCCTTGAATTTATCAGCATCAGTGTTTTGCTACTAGGTAGAAATATACTAACTCCCAAAGATCGTTTCTAATCATGATTTTAGTAACATCTTAGATGAAAGTCTGAACACAGCAAGAATCGGGCTTAAATTTAAGTTTTAAAAATTAAAATTTTTTGTGGAAATAATGTAGTTGTATACACAGAGTAAACTGCAGGGTAGAGATATGGCGGTACCTGTTAGCAGCTTTCTTGGAAATCTTAAAATTACTATGGCAATTAGATACTAACCTCAGACTTGTAAATCTCTGTGGGCTTTATTTTGTTTTGTATTTGAGTTATGGATATATTTAAAATAAGCCCTTTTTGACTCTCTTGACTCAAAGACATACTTTTCATTAATATTCAAGTAGGCTAGATTCTCCTTTACCACACTAGCAGAGTTCATCATATATACTCTAGCCCCATCATCCTCTTAAGTGTTAGTGGAAAATATCATAGTATCTCAGGGAAATTTGGGTGGAGGAGGGAAATATCCTAAATTTTCAGGAATTGATGTCGTGTATTTAATTCTTTTTTTTGGGGGGTGCCTAGGCAATGGGGTTAAGTGGCTTGCGCAGGGTCACACAGCTATGTCAAGAATCTGAGGTCAAATTTGCACTCAGGTCCTCGTGACTCCCGGGCTGCTGCTCTGTCCACTGTGCCACCTAGCTGCCCCTCGTTTATTTAATTCTGTCTATTAAATGCATACTCTGTACAAATTCTAAAACACGTGAGTTATAATTCTGGCCTCAAAACCTCACTGCAAATTCATACTACAATAGATAAAAGTAATCACTATTTCTAAGTAACAACAAAATTGGAATCTCACAAGCAGAAGACCATGCTGTATAAATTACAAGGCTAGGCTGATTTGAAATTATGTACCAATAGGAAAAGGAAAATCTAGATCAAAAGGAAAAAGGACTGTGCCTTTGTGATAAACCAAGGGGAAACCCCACTGACAGTCACTGTACATCAGTGTTTTGTTTTGAAAGATAATGAAAATCTTCAATAAAAATTGTTCATAAAAAAAGGCTATCAAGAAAATGTAAGCAACTATTACTATGCCTACTTCCCCTTTTCTACAAAATCTTTATAAAAATAAAGGGCTTTCTTTTTTCCCATTAAACATATTTTCATATTAGTCATGCTGTAAAGAATAATTAGAACCAATAGGAGGAGCCACAAGAAAAAAGAAAAAAAACAGAAGGAAAAAAAAAAAGCAAATAGTATGCTTCGATCTGCATTCAAACCCCATAGTTCTTTCTGTAGATGTGGATAGCATTTTCCATCATGAGACTTATGGAGATGTCTTAGATCCTCGTATTGCTAAGAAGAGCTAAGTCTATCAAAGTTAGTCATCACACAACATGGCTGTTACTGTGTACAACATTCTCCTGGTTCTGCTCACTTCACTCAGCATCGGTCCATACAAGTCTTTCCAGGTTTTTTCTGAAGTCTGTTTGCTCATATTTCTTATAGCACAATAGTGAAATTCATGTACCACAACTCGTTCAGCCATTCCCCAAATGATGGGCATCCCCTCAATTTCCGATTCTTTGTCACCACAGAAACAGCTGCTATGAATGTTTTTTGTACATGTGGGTCCTTTTCCTACATATGGGGCAGTGAGGAGGGGAGCGCACCGGCCCTGGAGTCATGAGGACCAGCCTTGAAATAAAGGGCTTTCTCGATGAAGGTCTGAGAAGGGGAGAGACAAGTGTTCATCAGTGCTATTCTACAGGGGACCACAGTCACACAACTAGCCAAAAGATGTAGGAGACAGAAGATCCTACTGTACCTGTTTAATGACTATTAAGAGTTTGATTCGATACAGTGAGATGCCACCTTAAAAAATCTCCTCCGAGGTGTTTCCCATTCATATGTTAAAGTATGGGAGTCTTTGAAAGATGCAGCAACAAAGATAATTTTGTTTGACTCTTCATTTATTAACATCAAGCAAAGCATAAAAACCAGGGAGACATATGCTCATCAAAGGAATGAGCCATTGCCACGGAGTCCAAATGGAAGGATTCTCCACAGATAACGAAGTTCTCTAAATGCTCCTTAATGAGATCCAAAATCACTCATAAGAAATTAGCCTACTATTCAAGAAGAAAAGACCAAGTGCGTGAAAAATGCCTATTGTCCAAACTGTGATATGCAGTTGATTGGGCAGCTGGTGATTAGCGTTTGTGTATGTATGTATATGTGTATGATTATATGCAAGAGAGATTCAATTTTTCTGTTTGATACATATGTGTGTACACCTAAACATGTGTGTGTGTGTATATATATACATATATATATATATATATATATATATATAAAATAGACAATGAAGATGTAAATTAAGGAATTGGACCCATAACTGCATTTCAGAAATTGAATGCTTTTAATGATCCCAAACTTCCCCAAAACAAACAAAATACTCCTCATCTTTTGAACTCAAGTATTTTTCCATTTGGACTTTATGCTGGGCATTCTCCATCATAAGAGCAAACATCAATGGTCAGCATACATTGCCCTATTTTATTCCTTGATTGATGACAACAATAATCTTAGGGTCAAAGTTATTTTTGTTTACTTGTCTTTTAAGGATTTTAGGGTGAGAGTAGGAAACGCCTGGTTGGTGTACAGCATTTTGCTCTACTTAAGCAAATTATTTCTTTTATAGTTGACAATTTACCCAGACAAGCATAATGGGATCTTCTATTTTCTGAACCTTTCAGTCAATTGTTACTGTAAAGATGTGGTCTGCTGTAGAATATGATTTCTGAAAGCCTTCCTGTTCCCTTTTCAAATTTTCATCAGAGGCCTTTGATATGTAGATTGTTCTCAAAAAGATTCTGTAGAGATGAGAAAGCAGACATATAGATCAGTTGTTACTGATACTTTTCAATTGCTTTTTGGGGAATAAAAGCAACTCTAATTTTCCCCCCAAAGTGTCTGGCATCCTCCCCTATTTCAGATATCTTGAGAACCCCAATTCCCTTAAAATTGTGCTGCCTACAGCATGGACCTTCTATATCTATTATTTTGGTCTAGTACAATTGCTATCTTTTTTTTTTAAAATGTCATTTCTACATCTTCATGCCACACATTGGGGACTGTGATGTAAGAGTCTAAATGTGGCCATTCCACTGTCATTAATAGAGTTTGTTATGGAAATGCTGACAGATGTTTTCCATTTCCCATCTATTTGTTGTGCCTCTTCCAGTTTTATCCTTCTCCACCCTTAGGGTGATCTGGCTTAATTGCAGCGCTCACAAAACTTTCTGTAAACTCACTTTCCCTTTTACTTCTCATTGTTTTTGGAGGCAATATAATCCCCTACAATATGCCTCAGTAAGATTTTATAAATGAGTTTACATGCTAAACCAGTGTTGCCCTTGGCTGCCCCGACTACTTGGCACGGAGAGCAAGTGCTACCAGCTGAAGTGGTTTCTAGGTTCTCTTGGCCTCTGCATTGTAGCAACTGATTTTCGTTCATTAAACTTCCAGAGGAAATGATAATGATCAATGTTGGTGTCTGCTCCTTTATCCATTTCCCGTGTGGGGGCCATCCATAGTTTGTTTAAATAACTTACACTAGAAATGTTTTGACTGCATGCATGAGCTTTTCTTTCTTCAATCTTTATACTCACTTTAACTACTCAATGGCCTGACTGCACATGGCTCATTCAGAAACAGCCTCCATAATAACCGGTTATTTCTTATCTATTAAAATGTAGTCAGTTTCTCTATCGTCTGCAGAGCTTGCCATACCCAGCACCCCCTAAATCTCTCCTTGAAGAAAGCTAATGCTATCTAGGCACGAAGCTTCTAGTTAGTCTGCAAGTTTTTGGCTTCTTTTGTTTCTCAATCCTTTGCCACATATCTCAACATATTTCCCACCACTCTCCCTTTGCCCGTTTCTGGACTGAAGTCACTGAGTATTGTTGATTTAATTTAGAGAGTGTTATTGAGTTCTTCAGCAGCTAGGTGGCACAGTAGATGGAGTGCCAAGCCTGGGGTCAGGAAGACACATCTTCCTGAGCTCAAATCTGGACTCAGACACTTACTAGTCGTGTGACCCTGGGCAAGTCACTTAATCCTCTTTGCTTCAGTTTCCTCATCTGTAAAAATGAGCTGGAGGGGGCAGCGAGGTGGCACAGTGGATAGAGCACCAGCCCTGGAGTCAGGAGGACCTGAGTTCAAATCCAGTCTTAGACCAGACTCTTGACACTTACTAGCTGTGTGACCCTGGGCAAGTCACTTAACCCCAACTGCCTCACCAATAAACAAACAAATAAATAAATAAATAAAAATGAGCTGGAGAAGGACAGGGCAAATTGCCAAGAAAACCCCAAATGGGGGAACAGGAAGAGCCAGACACTACTGAAACAACTAAATAGCAACATTGAGTTCTACACAGATTCGAAGAATTTTAGAGCTAGAAGGGATCTTGGTAGTTATCTACTCTAGCTAGGACCCAAAAAGGAATCCCCACTACAACACAGACAAGTGGGTCATCCAGCTTCTTCCTGAAGATCTTCATTGAGAAGGGACTAATATATTCTAGGGAGCACAAACCACGAGGATTCAGAAGTCCCGGAATTCAGGCTGGTGTTGCAGCCTGCCCAGCAGAAAGGTCCTGAAGATCCAGGGATATGGACTCAAGCCCAGCATAAACCAAAACCCACGCCAGCTTTGGACATGAACTTGGTAGGGTTAATGTTATTTGGGAAATCAGCTAAACTGAGCCTAAACTGAGGGGATTATGCCCTATGGCATAGGAGATATCTGCACATTTCTTCTTGCTGTATCTCTGAAGTAAATATTCCTTTGTAAAAGATAATCTGTTAAATGAAATTGGGGTACTAGTCACTGTGCCCCTCAAAAAAGAAGGGGGAGGAAACACAAGTGGAGGCTTGAGCCAATGGTAAAGGAAAAAGAATCCTCAACTACTTCAGGGTAAAAGGGAACCCTATGAGGATGAGAATGTAATAGGACTAGCCCTAAGAGACTGGAACCAGAGTCAACCATGCAACCATGCAACTGGCAACGTCAACACAAAAAGAGAAGGACTGAGGATCGTTTTATATTTTCGTTTGTTTCACTGATTGCCATGGCCAGAGAATTCATCACCTCATTTTCAGTCTAAGGGGGATGAGGCTGTTCATACTTAGCTATGCCGGTCCTCAGAGAACAGGCAATCTACCCAAAATGAAAAAGGACCCTTATGTACAAAAATATCTATGGCAGCTCTTTTTGAAGTGGTAAGTAATCAGAAGCCAAGGGAATGTACATCCGTTGGGGTCTGTGGGCCACAGGTTAAGCCATTTTAAGGAAAATGTCCAAATCGGGTATTTCTTCATCTCTCTCTGGGATCTGCTTCTATCTGGTCTTTATCTACCACACCCTCATATGGGTACCTCCTCTATACCTGCTTTCCAGATTTTTTTTTTTTAGGTCTCATCTTCCTCCATTAGAATGTAAACTACTTGAAGGAAAGGAGAGTCTTTCTGCTTGTATTTGTATTCCCAGAATTTAGCACAGTGCCTGACAAAGTAGTGAATGCTTAATAAATGCTTCTTGGCTTGGCTTGACTGGCATTTAGGAAATGGCTGAACAAATTATGGCAGATGAATGTAATGTAATACCATATTGCTATAACAAATGGTGAAAGGGATGGCTAGAGAAACCTAGAAGACTGGTACGAATTGATACAGAGTGATGAGAACCAGACTGATTTATATAACGACAACTCTGTAAAGATAAACAACTTTGAAAACTTAACAGCTCTGATTAATGCAATGACCAGCCATGATCTCAGAGGGCCTGATGCTGGATCACAACCTCCTGACAGAGAGGGGATGAGTCAAGATGTAGAATGAGACATATTTTCTGACACGGCCAATGTGGGGATTTGTTTTACTGGACTATGCATAGTCATTATAAGGGTTATTTCTTTTCCTTTTTTTCTCCTCAAGAAGTGTACATGCAGGCGAAACAAAGGATGTTGAATCAGGGTTTAAAAAAAAAAAAAAGAAAATCTGTTTCCAGGATAATACCTGAAGCCTTTTCATCAAGTTAGAACCTGTCCATTTATCCTCTGCTGCCATGGCCTTCAAAGATAAAATTTATATACACATATGTAAAGGGTTAAAAAAATTACCAGAATTTTTAGGATTGGAGGGGACCTCAGCGACTATGTAGTTCAAGTCATACCCAAAAGAATTCCCAACCTCATCTAACCTGCTCTATCAAGATATTCAATTGGGGGGCGCAGCTAGGTGGCACAGCGGATAGAGCACCGTCTCTGGATTCAGGAGGACCCGAATTCAAATCCGGCCTCAGACATATAACACTTACTAGCTCTGTGAACCTGGACAAGTCACTTAACCCCACTGCCTAACCAGAAAAAAAAAAAGATATTCAGTGAAGGGAAATCTACCACTCTCGAGCCAGCCCATTCTACTTTTGAACAGCTTGAAATGTTAGGAAGTCTTTCCTGACATCCAACCTAAATTTACTTCCTTGCAACTTCCGCCCCCTTGCTCCAGGATCTGGGACCAGGAGCATTGCTCCCTTGCTTTGGATCAAACAGAACCAATATCCCTCTCTCACACAAGAGGCCTTTAAATACCTGAATTCAACTACCCTGAGAAAGTGCCCCACCTCCCATCCAATCTAGGTCTTCTCTAGTTTATTCAACTAATCTTCAAGTCACATGAACTCCAAATCCTTCACCATCATGGCTTCCCTGCTCCAGGTACTCTCCAGTTCTTCAAGGTCCCTCGTGAACTGTGGTTCCCAGACACGAACACAAATTTCCACATGTGGTCTGATGGGGGTAAGGTACAAAAGGACTCTCATTTCCTTATTCACGGATATCATGCCTCTCAATGCAGCCCAAGATGCTACTGGCTTTTCTTTTTTTTCTCCCAAGCTGGTACATCACATTGCTAACTCATGTTGAGCTTGTCAACCACTAAAATGCCTAGATCTCCCCCACCACCCCAACCCTGCCCCAACAAAATGCTGTCCAACATTGCCTCCCCTGGTTTGAACGTGGGAAGTGAATTTTTTGAACCCAAGTTTAAGACTTTACATACCCTACTGAATTCCTTCCGAGATTCAGCCCAGTACTCTAGCCTAACGATACCCTGTTTTCCTTTTTCAGATCTAGGTTCTGTCATCCAATGTGTTAGCTAACTCTCTCAAGCTCTGTGCCATCTGCACATCTGAGGAGCACACCCTCTAGATCTTAACAAAGTTACTGATAAACACGTTAAATAGCACAGGCCAAGTATAGATGCCTGAGGCACTCTGCAGCAGACCTCCTGCCAGGTTGGCATTGAACCATTAATGACTACTCTTTATGACTAGTCATTTCAACCATTTCCAAATGCACCTCTTGGTATCATAGTCTAGCTCACACTTCTCCATTTATTCCACAAGAACAGTGAGAGAGGCTACATCAAATGCTTTGCTCAAATCTAGGTCAATTCTGTCTACAGCATTCCCATGAGCTATCTGTTCAGTAACCAAATTTGCCTGGCATGATCTGCTCTTGATGAAGCTAAGCTGGGTCTTTGAAATCATAATATTTCATCAGGACAAGATGGGAGACATGAGGCTAGCTAACACTATGATAAGATCTGGGGAACTCAGTGGACTGTAAGTTCAACACCATGGTATGATAACCAAAAACCTAGTCCAACCTTAAAACTGTAATAAGGGAAGCTCACTGTTCTCTTCAGGACATCTATTGTTTCTGCCTCTGCTTCCTCACTACTTGCTCATTTCTTAACTCCTTAAAACCAGGCTTCCTACAACTCGACTGAAAATGCTTTTTCCAAAGGGGCAGCTAGATGGCACAGTAGATAGAGCTCTGGCCTTGGAGTCTGGAGGACTTGAGTTCAAATGTGGCCTCAGACACATGATACTTACTAGCTGTGTGACCCCGGGCAACTCACTTAACCCCAACTACCTCACTAAAAAGCACAAACAAACAAATAAAATGCTTTCCCTGAAGTTACCAGTCACCTTTTAAGTTCTAAATAAAATTGCCCCTTCCCATTGCTCATTCTCCTTGACCTCTCTGACACATTCCTGACACATTTTCTCAGTTATTCTTGCTTGATATTCTTTCCTCTCTTGGTTTCCATGACATTGATCTCTCCTGGTTCTCCTCCTACATAATTGGCTGATCTTTTTCAGTCTTCTTTGTTGGTTCACGAGCTATCTACCTCCTACTCCCTAACCATGGGTGTCAAGGCTCTATCTGGGGCTCTCTTCTCAGTCTACACTCTATTCCTTAGTGATCTCAGCAGGGTTCGGTGTATCATCTTTGAGCAGATGATTCTCAAATCTATGAGCCTAGCCCTAAAAAAATCTCCTGAACTTTAGTCCCATGTTGCCAGCTGCCTGTTGGACATCTCAAACCGGGTGTCATCAATACCTCAAATTTCCCATTTCCAAAACTCATCTTCCTTCCTCCCTAACTCTAGCCCCTCCTCTCAATTTCCTCAATTTTCTTGAGAGCAACACCACCTTCCTAATCACATAGGTTTGCACTCTTAGACCCTGACCCTCTTAGACCCTGACCCTCCCTATTTCTTTACTACTAGTTAACCAGTTATCAAGTCTTACAGATTCTACCTCCACGATCTCTCTCATATCTGCCCCCTTCTTTCCACTCACATAGCCACGAGCTCTAGTTCAGTCCCTCAGTACTTCTCACTTGGAGCACTATAAGTCTCCTCAATCACACTGCTTCCAGTATCTCCCCTCTCCAATTCATTGTTGATACAGAATAATCTTCCTTAAACATAGAAGTCACTGCGTTGCTACATGACTCAAGTCTCCAGTGAACCTTGACTGCCTCTAGGATAAAATAAAAACTCTTCAGCTTGGCACTTAAGGCTCTCTACAAGCTGACTCCTACTCTTCATACCTTATTTTATATTACTCCCCTTCACTCACAATAGTAAATAGAGATTTTTGTATAAAAACTGTCAGTAGAATGATTTAAAAAAATCACAAATGATGGGGCCCACACATGGAGAATGTGTGGAGGAACAACTTATAGATCCAGTGCCGCAGGGTTCCTGATATCCTCTCATGATTTCCCCCGAGGGACTTCTTACTGGGCAACATCTTTTGGCCCAGAACATTGCTCTTTTGGGCTCACTGGGCTTGCTCTCTATAAGAAACATTGCTCCACCAGTTGACTGTAGTCTACCCTTACTCCAGGTTTGGGCTCAACTGAAGTACTTGGCTAGGGTACTTCTGAGCTCTCTCAGAAAGAACCAGAAGCAAAATCTTCCCCCTAGGATGAGCAATAAGCCCTCAAATTCTGTCTCTCCATAATCTTGGCTGTGAGGCATTCCAGCTTTCAACCAATAGGACCCCAGCTCCAAGCACTACTGTCTTCAGCTTTCTGCAAAGAAGGCTGGGGTTTCTGAAACAAAATCCTTGAATTCTCAGCTCAGGCAAGACGAGAGAGAGTGAGAGAGAGAGAGAGAGAGAGAGAGAGAGAGAGAGAGAGAGAGAGAGAGAGAGAGAGACAGAGAGACAGAGACAGAGAGACAGAGACAGAGAGACAGAGAGACAGAGTGTAGGTATATGTGTACGTGTTTGGCTGTGTTCCAGAGGTCAAGTTACTTTCCCAAAGTCACATAGTAAGTGATAGAGTCAAGACTCAAATCCACTGAACCACACTGATGCCCCAGAAAGAGCTTAGACTTAGTTAGCTTGGCCCCAGAGGGTATAGCTCCAGGAGTAAGAGATGAAAGTTTTAGAAAGGCAGGTGTGCTCCACCTGAGGAAAGACTTTCTAACAACCAGAGCATCCTAATAGGGAATGACTTAGGAGGCAGTGATTTAACTCTCATTGGGACCTCTTCAAATGGAAATCAGTTAGATGCTTCTAGGCAAATCTTAATATTTTATTGGTCGAAGTGCAGTTTCCAAAGTCTCTTCCACCTCTTGTATTCTATGCTGCTCCAGCCCCAGCTCTCTTGGAACATCCCTATACCCTCTGTATAGGTTTCCTCCAGCGCCACAAGCCATTTTCTCAGCACTCCCTCTATCCCATTGGCACACCACCAAATCCTCTTCCATTTATAACATTGTTCCTATCGTACCAACAACCCTGTTTTACCTAAAGTTGTGTTTTGGGGAATACAGTTAATTATGTTAGTGGACAGATCAGTACTTACTGTCAAGAGCAAAAGAGAACACGACCAAGGTACCCAGTATGGTACAGACAAGTGTTATCCATGGTGTAGAAAGGGAAGAGCAATGTAATAGAGTGAGTTTCATGTAAAGATTGTGCTGGAATTGGGCTCTATACAGAATGAGAAGAGAGGGCATTTCACATAGCGTGAACTTATGGGGAGGAGGGAATGCATGGTTGGACCCTGGGGCGGGATATTTGTGGAGCTGAAAAGGACCTCAGAGATCATCTAGATCACAACTTCCCAGCCTAACTTATCTCTAGAACTCTACTGAATTATGTTGATAGAACCTATAAATGCTGGTCTGGAGCCATCTCGGGGTATAGAATACCTATAGAATAAAAGGTTGGGGAAATCTGGGAGCAAAGCAGAGATCGGGAAGACAGTATGAAGGAATATGGTTTGTGTGCTAGACCAAAAGTACATGTAAGGGTAGTACAGTGTTTATGTGTTGTGGAAAAACGGAGATAAGAGCGGGTGAGAGGGGGCTGTGTGAAGAGATAAGAATAAATGTGAAAAAAGATGGTGTCATGGATGTGATGGGGATAGCTACCCAACTCAGGGGATGTAGTGGCATGGTTGTAGTAAGGTGGATCAAGGTTTGAGGCGGATGAAGACTGAGCTGTGGGGTGTGGGAGATGGAAGACAGGGTCAGCATGGAAAGGAAGCATCCCTGACAGCTTTCATCAATATTAACGTTTTTTTCGTTAAACCCCTACTCCTATCATAAGGAAGTTTTCAGAAATGCTGATGCAGTCCAACCACTTTATTTTAAATAGGAGAAAACTAAGTGCAGAGAAGCTAATCAGTTTCCTCAAAGTCACACAGTGAGTTAGTTAAAAGGTAGTAAAACGGACAGAATGCTGGATTTAGATCACACCAGACGAGTTCAAATCCTGCCTCTGACATTTACTAACTGTGTGACCACGGGAAAGACACTTATTTACACTGAGGTCTAATCTCATCTGCAAAATGGAATAATAATACCCTTAGTACCTATCTCACAGGGTTGTTACAAGGATCAAATAAGACTGTCTGCAGAAAGCACTCTGTAAACCTTAAAACACTGTATAAAGGTCAGCTATGATACAGCGGAAAAAGTGCTAACTTTGGATTCAAAGGCTTTAGGTTCAAATCCTGGTTGCCATTTCCTACTTATGAGATGTTGGGCAGGTCATAGGCTTTCTGGTCTCCATTTCCTCAGCTATAAAATGAGGGAGTCAGACTAGAAGGCCTCTAAGTTCTAAACAGACCTTCCAGTTCTAAATATATGCTCTCATGATTCCATTATTAGTAGCAAAGCCGAGCGTAAAAGCTGTGCAGCTGAAATGGTGGGTATGTGTTGGCTGGGAATGCTGGGAAAAAGAACTCACTGTAATATAGCACTTTAAGGTTCGTAAACCATTTTCTTCACAACCATGAAGCAGGCAGTACAAGTATAACTATGTCCATTTCACAGATAAGTAAACGGAGGCTTTGAGAGCTAGTGACTAACCTGCAATTATATACTTAGTAGATGTCTACAGTTGAACTCAAACCCAAGTTCCCTGACTCCAGCACTTAATCCACTAAACTGTGGTTGGATAGGTATAGCAGGTTCTTGAGTATAGCAGTGATGATGAAATTAAAACCACCACCACGTTCCATGAATATAGCACTTTGTAGTTTGCTGTTGTTTAGTTCTGATTCTTCATGACCCCATTTGGGGTTTTCACGGCAAAGATACTGCAGCAGTTGGCCATTTCCTTCTCCAGCTCACTGACAGATGAGGAAACTGAGGCAAACAGGATTAAGTGATTTGCTCAGAGTCACACAGCTAATATGAGTCTTAACTCCAGCCGCGGCACTCTACCCACTGCGCCATCTAGCTGCACCTTTGTAACCTACAAAGACTTGTTACATAGGTAGAGGGTGGGAGCTGGTTTCCTATTCCCCTCTTACCACCCTGCCCCCAACCCAGAATGTAATTAATACAAATAAGGGGCAGGTATAGATAACAAGATTGTTAATATATGTTTCTTACTGAATGATGTATATAAGCCTTTTTTTTTTTCTGGTGAGGCAACTGGGGCTAAGTGACTTGCCCAGGGTCACACAGCTAGTAAGTGTTCAGTGTCTGGTCTGAGACCGCATTTGAACTCAGGCGCTCCTGACTCCAGGGCGCCATCTAGCTGCCCCATGTAAGCTCTCTTGTTCTTTTAAAAAGCATGAAAAAACTGAATTAAAAGAGGAATTTAGCCACTAGTTAGGAAAATATTGGCCATGACCCCTAGTGGCCCTTAAAAAACTAGGTTGATAGCTTTTCAGTCAGTCCAGGAAGGAGCTAGCAGTTGAGGAAGAACTCAGCCCTTGAGAGAAAGAAGGGGAAGAAGAGATTTTTCTTTCTTCCTCCTTACCCCATTGATCACATGCTTTGCAGTAGAGCCATTGGGCCAGGGGGAGACACCCCAACAAGCAGAAAGCAGTAGTCATAAGTCTGAGAGAGCTCGAGGCACAGCTGAGATGCATCCAATCATACACACATCATCTATGGAGACACACAGATGCAGAGAAGTATGGCATTCAAGGCTGGAAACAACTTCAAGGAGTGTGACCTCTGGCAGCAAAGAAGAGAGCCTGCTATTGGCTTGAGAGTACTAGTCCTGGCAGTTGAGAGTTGAACTGTGGAGAAGAGGATGTATTGGGAGCCCAGGTGCCCATCAGAGACAATGCAGCCATGTGGTAGAAGCACAACAGAGGCCTTGAACTGCCTGAAGTATGAGTTGCTATCTGTGTGCATGTCCCTATTTCTGCATCCCAAGTTTGTTCCCACTCTTCTGTGTCTATTTGTGGAAGAGTGCATCTAGGTTTGTGGGGGGAATGTTTTGTAGCTTGTTTTTACCATCCCGTCTTAGTAAATGTTGTTGCTCTATGCCAATTGTTTCTACTGGCTAACTGTTACAGGCAAGTTCACTGTTGGGTGCTTGTGAAGTATCGTTTCAGAGTGCAGAGCCACCAGGCACCCTAGGACCCAAGAGTAACAGTCACCCGCTGGCGACCCAACCCTGCAATTCAAGTACAAGTTGGACGATTCTCCGAGAAGGGGCACTACACAGAGATTGTTTACATATTATTTTGTTTGATCCTCACAACAACCCTATGAGGTAGGCAGGGACCACTGGGAATTGTTGTTTTAGAAAAAGCCACTGTTTGAACAGGTTAGTTAGGAGACTACGGCAATAGTCCAGGCACGAGATGATAAGGAGTCAGATCAGGTGGAAGAGGAAAGGGATATTTTGAAGGAAGAATGGCAGGCAGGGTGTGTTGAGAGTTTGATCCTTAAGGGAAGAATCAGAGATAGAATCAGAAAACAGGGAGCTAAAGCCTTTCTTTAGCAATGTTCCCTTTCTTAAATTCCTATAACATTTATATTCCAAACCACACTACCATAAATCCCTGGTTATCTAGAACCATAAAAGAATACATTTTTCTGAACATCCTTGTCTCCATAGCGCAATTTTTCAAATTATAAAATGTCATCCCTTTAAACCTCGAAACTTATAAAATTGACTTAAGGTACTGGGAAGGATGGGGATGGGGGAAAAGAGGACATGAACATGCATGACAACTGTCTCCAAGTTACCTGAATAAAATACCTGCATAAAATACAAACTGTGGAGGGCCTAGAGGGCCTGGTTTTTTGGCCCTCTAAGTGTGGCTCCCATCTTATTTCAACATTAGTCCCCTTCTAGACTCTCCATTCCGAACAAACTGGATTACCAGCTGTTTCCCAAACCTGATACATCTGCCTCCTTCACACACAGCTACAAACACACTCCTTCCTCACCCCTGCCTTTAGTTTTTTATCTTCCCTTCTTAGACTCAGCTCGGGTGAGGCTGTCACTGGAACCTTCCCTGACGCCCAGCGTTCTGAAGGCAGTCTGATCTCTCCTCTGCGCTCATCACTCCTAATGCTATACTTACCCGCATACCTGTCAACTCCCACCCCCAGCAGAATGTAATCTCGAGGGCAGGGAGAGCATCTTTTTTTTTTTAATCCTATTATGCCCGATGCAGTCCAGTGCCTTGGACAATGTGTAGGCACATTGAACAAATGGGTCTCAAGGGCTTGGAGAGACTCAGTTTTGTGAATATTGTTTCTCAGTATATGCTGACATCTGCTGACCATCTGTGGTCTTACACCCATGGCTTGGGTAGCTGCCCTACTTCTTCACTCCCACAGATGAGGTAAAAAACAAGAAGGAAACATGTTCCTCTAACGATCAGGGGGCTAGAAGCCTATCCCTGTCCCATGTCCCTTCCTCTCAGCAGGCAGCACATTAGGAGAGGGAACAGAGCTGGGTTAGATACTGCTAGGTTCCAGTCCCCAGACTCCTCTCCAATGAGTCCCAAGAACCTGGTTTCTTCCCTTAAAGCATCCTGAGAGTTATACCCCACCTGTTTTATTAATCTTCCCTATAATGTTCACTATGCCTCTGCTTGGATACCTCTAGCCCTCCAGTGACGAGGAGCCCACTATCTCATAAGGCAGAGAACACCAGAAACAAAGAGATGAGGGGCCTTGGGGAAAGTGGGTGAGAGAGACAGACAGAAACATACCAAGAGAATCAGGATACGTCAAAAATAGGGATCAAGGGTTTGGGGTTTTTTCTACCCAAAGAGGCCCACTGACTTTCTTCCTTTATCATTGGTAGGAAACCCTTCTCCTTGCAGTCCTAGACCTCACTGTGTCTGCACAAGCTAGTGGGTGGGGGAAGAGAAGAGGAAAGAGGGAAGGAGGGTGGGGCAGGGGGCGGTGCTAGGCCAGAGACTCTTGAAAGTTTCTTCATCCTCTGTCAGTTCTCCGGGTACATCCAAAGCAAGACTGGCCTCAAAGGTGAGGGATGGGCCATGGTGAAGGGACAAGTTGGGGAGTGGGGTAAAAAGCAGGATTGGGCAGGATGCTGATGCTTCCCTCACCCTCAGCCCTTCTATTTTGCAGGGGAAGTGTTAATGCCTGGGAGATATCTCACTAGGGACAGTGGGGGCAGAATAGGGCAACTGGACACAGATGGGGCCAAAAGAATGAAGGGAGAGAGCAGAATAAGCTGAGATGATGAGGGATGGTGGGATGAAACGCAGGGAGAACTTGGGAGATGAGTGACCAGTTAAAGAGGATGAGAGGGACTAACAGACCAGAGCACAGAGGGACCGAGATTGTAACAACGGTACAGATGTAGAGGGAGACAGAAAGTGGGGGTGACAAGAGCACGGAGGAGAGGAAGCAGGGCCCACCCGGCTCTTTCTGCTCCCAGGTGCCAGGTGCAGAAGTGAAGAGCCTCACACTACGCCAGGAGCAAAATTCCTCCCTGGCTCCTGACTGCATGAATCCTGCTGGGGAGCTGGACTCCAGGTACCCACCTGTCTGACCCTTCCAGACTCCCACTGTGAGGAGTGGGAGAGGGTGCGGCTGCTCCTCCCTGCGGTCACAGCCACATCCTGTAGAGGAGGGGAGGGGGAAGTGAGAAGCAAAACCACCGGAGGAACCTTAGACAGGGAGCCTCGTTTGGGGGAAATTCTAGGACCTGGTCAGCCTTCTTCAAGGGCTATGGGGTCCCCAGTTGAGCCCCAAATGGAAACCCTGAATTCTCAGGATTAAATTGTTTGGGTCAGGGGTGGCGGGTAGGGGGCCTGACCCCTAGCCTTTCTTAGGACCACTCCCTTGTCACCCGCTTTCTTTCAGTCTACCCTCCCTTCCTTCCATATTTGCTTTCTTTTGAGGCTTAGCTCATAGTAGGCTGGTTTCCTAGATACCTTTCATCAGTCCCCTAGCCAACCCTTTCCCTGGCTCCTTTGTCCCTACCTTTGGAGATTCAGAGTCTCTAGAACAGAACCTCAAAGATGCAAGAATGTGAGGGCTCACATGAGGAGACAGAGACCCAGCTACAGCTGGTAGGAAAGGTAGACTCTTGGTTAAGAGAAGGGGAAAGCCCCCCGGTTCCCTAGCAGGGTCCTGGCAGCTTGTCTTTTTTGTTGATATTTAACATGGACTTGGGTCTCTGCCCTACTAGGGATCATGGAGCCCTTCAGTTCAAAAAACCTCGCCCTGCAGGCAGAGAAGAAGCTCCTGAGCAAGCTGGCCGGGCGGTCAGTGGCGCACCTCTTCATCGATGACACCACCAGTGAAGTGCTGGATGAACTTTACAGGGTGTCCAAAGAGTACACCCACAACCGGGGCGAGGCCCAGCGGGTCATCAAGGACTTGGTCAAGGTGGCCATTAAGGTGGCGGTGTTGCATCGAAACGAGCAGTTTGGCCCTGGGGAGATGGCCCTGGCTGACCGCTTCCGCCAGAAGTTGCGCCAAGGCGCCATGACTGCCCTCAGCTTCGGTGAAGTGGACTTCACCTTTGAAGCTGCTGTGCTGACGGCCCTGCTGACGGAGTGCCGAGACACCTTGCTAGAGCTGGTGAAGCACCACCTCACACCCAAGTCTCACAGCCGAATTCGCCACGTCTTCGATCACTTCTCAGACCCCAGCCTGCTCACTGCCCTCTACAGTCCTGGCTACGCGCAGCACCTCAGCAAGCTCTGTGATGGGCTCAGGAAGCTACTGGATGAGGGAAAGCTTTGAGGCCTGGTGTCCTGGCTCCATCTATCTCAACAAGGTAGTGGACTCCCAGCAGGCCGCAGCTCTCTGGCCCTTCTTGCCCACTTTAACGCCCTCCAGCCCCCTGGCTTGGGTCTTCTTAGAGTGTGGTTGGCTCTGGGCACCTCTCACCCTCGGGTGGGAGACATGGGGGGTTCACAAGCCCTTCCCTCCCCTGTGCCTCTGGTCACCAGGACAGGAAATGAAGCTGCCTGAAAAAGATGAAGTGAAAGTCGGATCCTTCTACTTCCCTCTAATCTGGACACATGATACAGGGAAATCCCTTCCAGGAAGGAGGACAGCACCCCAAGCTGCTGACTAGGGGCGGGAGGGCAGAGGAGGGGTGTCAAACTCAAAGCCAGCCCAGGGGCTGGGCCTGGGGCCAGTCTGGGTGGATGATGGAAGCCTTGCCCCCAGAGAGGGTCAGGGCAGGGGAAGACACTCAGAAGGGAAATAAACCTGCTAAACCATGTACACGGCTCTATGTCCAATCTCTGCTTACTATCAACACAGGGAGAGGGGAATGGGAAACCACATTCACTTTCTTCCACGTCCAACATTAAATAACAAAATAAGGCAGACTCTGAGCCCCAAAGAGCCTCCCTACCCTGCTGTTTTCTCTTCAAAAATACAGAACTACACCTCAGGCCGGTGCTACAAACCACAAATAAATATGCAATGGAAAGAAAGAAAGGAACCAGGAGGCCGTGGAGGTAACAAAGGAACCCTTCCGTGCTCAGGCTGCATGGTGTGGGGGAGAGAGGTGTGCGCGCGTGCGCATACACACACACACACACACACACACGCGCGCGCGCACACATGCAGAACACAGGTAGTCAGGCCTGCTCATTAAATCCCAAACTGACTGACTACCCATCCAGGTGGCCTGTGGACATTGCTCCCTTCCCTCTACCTACCCCAATATAAAACTCAGTGGAACAGGGCAGAAAAGTGGCAAGGGAAAGGATGAGCAAAATCTCTAATCTCCTGAACCATGAGAAAGAAAACAGGACCAGTGAGGTCAAGGCTAAGAACAGCATTTCACTTCCCAATTTGGGGAAGAAAGTTGGTACACCATCTAGGGAGGCTGGTTCAGGACCTCAGTGCTGCACAGTAGGGGCTGGGGCTCAGATGTACCCACACTCCCGACGGTTCCCAGGGCTCCCTAGGTTGAGGGGACTATAGAAGCAGCCATCATGGCTGATCATTTCTTAGCCACCATCCCCTGAGAGCTGGGAGGACTTCCACCTCCTGCTAGGAAAACAAAATATAGCCAATAAATAGGATTCCAACATAGCACCAAATAAATTAGAGAGGAGGGTAGGAGGGTGTGGGGGGACAGGTTCTGGAGATCCCTCCACCCCTACAGTAAGGCCAAGGAATTGTGACAGGAACCAGAGAGAGGAAAGAAAGGGACAGACAGAGCTCTCTGAATCTAAAAGATCCCAAGATTCAGTCAGAAGAGTCTGGAGAGGATCTGATCTCAACCTTTCCATTCTTGCCTACAACTCCTCCCACAAGCGGCCGGCCATAGTCCCTGATCTGACAAGAAGGCCAGGTCAGGGGGATGGGGGCAGGGTAGGGAAGCCAAAGCAGGGATGGGCTGAGCTGGTGGATCCACAACTTTCACCCCATCAGGCAGGTTCTCCTCTACTGCTTCTCTCTTCCCAACAGATTTGGGGGGTATCAGAGTTTAAAGATTTCATCTTCCTGGTCCCGTAAGGTGGCTGCCCTTGTGGTTCGAGTCAGGGGTACGGGGCCCAGCACTGCCCGTTGCTGCTTTCGGGGGGAAGCCAAGTGGGGATGCAGATCCTCCCCGGGTACCCTGCAGGTAAAGATGAAGGGAAAAGTGATCAGGAAGGGAGGCAAGGAAGGAACAAGCACTTACTACGCACCTGTGCCAGGTACTATGCTAAACACGATCCACATTTCTCATCTGAAGGAAGAGCTGAGGTGGGGGGTAGGGGTGTGGGGGGGTGTGAACTAGAGAGAGAGAGAGAGACAGAGACAGAGAGAGATCTAGCAAGCTGCCTCTGTACTGCTGCCAAGTCTGCCCAAGGCTCAGCTCACCTTGCCCCAAAAGGACAGAGCAGTAGAGGAACCTGAAACCATAACCTCCTGTGCACCACAGAAGTATTCCAGCAGGGGTTAGTTCACTTTGCTTCTGGAATTCAAATTTTAAGCAGGAAAGGGCCTTTGAGCTCATCTAACCCAACGCCTTGATCTTCAAGAGAAAGAAAGTGGAGTCCCACAGTGTTTAGGTGCCAAGGCCTAGCTTCCCATCTCCTGTGCTCACCAAAGGCTTCTGGAGAGGGTCAGAGAGACTGTTCAGAAATGCCAAAGACTCACCCAGTCTCACCCTTCTTCAGCTTCCTGACGGCAGCCTTCTTCGACAAACTGATCTGTGAGTCAATCTTTTTGAGGAAGTCAGTGGCAGAGAGGTCCTGGCTGGGTACAGGGAGGTCCTGGCCACATCTAGAAGAAAGGCCTTCACCATTGGCTTTTTCCTCTTGTTTTTTCCTCACGGTTGAGGAGCCCTCAGCTCCACCTTGACTCAATGGCATCGCTTCCTCCTTGTCTTCTTCCTCCTCAGAATCTAGCCCATTGAATAGTCCCCGGGGCTCAGTCAGGATGGGAATATAGAGAGTTTTCTTGAGGAAGATGGAGTCATTAGTATAAAGTCGGTTAGCACGCTTAATCTGTTCCATCTTGAGGGGAAAAAAGCGAGGGGCACTAAATTAGTAACAAAAATAATAATATAGCTCACAAATTTGTAATATTTCATATTTGTAAATGTATTTTCAAATCCATTGCTTTATCTGATATTAACAACCATCCCAAGGAATAGTGAGGGCAGGTATTATCCTTGTTTTACAGACGAATATACTGAGGCCTGCTTAAGAGATCATGACTTGCATAAGAACACTGAAAAAGTTAGTGGCAAATTCTAAAGAACTTAGGGCTCCTTACTAATAAATCTGGTACCCTGAAATATTTATTATTAAACACGAACTTGTCAGCATTTTTTGATTGTATGTATACCCTGGCTAAACTGAAGCATGACACACTGGGAAGACAGTACTCAGAATCAGAGTCGCTAAGAATGTTAGTGTTAAAAGGGACCCACTCAGTCCAATTACTGGAAACCTGACTTGTAACCAAGATATTTCTACCCTAGCACAAAACTATCATAATGAACTCGAATAACAGATCACTGGACTCGGAGTCAGGGAGACTTCAGTCTGAATCCTACCTCAGTCACTTATCAGATGTGGGACCCTGGGGAAGTCATGTCACCACTCTCAGCCTCAGTTTCTTCACCTGTAAATGAGGCTAATAGCACCTAACTCACAGAGTTGTTGTGAGGATCAAAAGGGACAACAGGTGAAACGTTCTGAGAGCTTTAAGGTGCTCTAGAAATGCTAGTATTAAAAGAAGATAACTCTGAATAACCCCAAAGTTAATATCTTGAATTTGCATAGCACGTTTGCACTTCAAAGTGCACTTACTGTTTGTTCTCTCATTTTGTTTTCAGACTTTTTAAAAAACGATTTCACAATGATGCCATATAGTTGCCTCCTCACAACCACCATTAGGGGAGGGAAAGCAACATCCCTATTGGACAAGTTCCAGACAAGGCTGTGGCAGGAGGGGCAGCCCAGGGCCATGCTCTCCTGGATACCTCTCCTGCGTGTGTGTGTGTGTGTGTGTGTGTGTGTGTGTGTGTGTGTGTGTGTGTGTGTGTGTGTGTGTGTGTCTGTTTGTCTTGCCATCCCCAGCTGATTAGCTCAACACCAAAGTATGCCGGTAAACACACCCACACGCTTCGGTCCATTTCTATATCCACAGCAGGCCGGTGAGGGTGTTTCACCATCACCGTCTGAAGCCTCGATAGTGGGAGATTGGACAGTGGTCACAAGGTGCCCCCCACCCCCCGCCCCCAACTTTAACTCCTTGTTTATAGGGTGCACCCTTGTCTATGGGGTACACTCTCCCCACACCCGGGCTCTTTACGGACTCTTGGGGGCTCTCCTCTGTGGCTTGGGGGGGGGGAGGGAGGCACTGGGGTCACCCTCAACAGAGACTGGAGGGCGGGGGATGAGAGGTTGCAAAGCAGGCGAAAGCTCTGGGCGGGGAGGCTCAGGAGGACCTGGGTTCAAATCGGGCCTCAGACAGTCCCTAGCAAAATCACTTCATCTGCTTCAGCCTCAGTTTCCTCATCTGTAAAATGAGGATCTAACAGCACCGACCTCCCAAGGTTGTGGTAAGGACCACAGGAGATAACTTATGCCTTCACGATCCCTCTCTCTCTCATGTCTATGTACCGAATTATCTTGGTGAGAATGAGGATGGGGTGAGAGGGAGGGGGTGAGAATGCTCCTCCAGCCAGGCATCCGGACCAGTCTGGTCTGGCATAGTCCAGGCTCTGAACACGACCTGGCCACAGCCCCGGGGTCGCGGGGGTAAGCCTTCCGGGAAGGTGCCCCCGCCGTGCCCCCTCCGACCACTCACCGTCACCCCGTACTTGAGCGCCAGGCCGGCCAGGGTGTCCCCGGGCTCCAGCAGGTGCTCCACGCGCCGCTCCCGCACCGGGGAGCAGGCCGACTGCACCAGGCTGCCGTAAGACCGGGCTCGGCTCCCTCGCAGGAGCCCCGAGCCCCCCGGGGACGCCTGACGGGAGGGGGACGCCATGGCCTCGTCGGCCCAGCCCGGGCCCGACCTCCAACCGTGACGCCCTCTGACCCCTGACCTTCGAGGAGCCCTTCTCAGCCAAGATCCCGGGGGCCGGCCTCCGCCATAGGCCGCCGACTCCCGCTCCGGGGTGCGGATCTCCTGCCCTGGTAAAGCCCAAGAGCGGAGCCCTGCCCCTCCCGTCTAAGGCCCTGGCGCCGGGTTCCACAGCAGTTGGTTCGGTCGCTGCCCGTAGCCAAGGCGCGAGGAGCTGCTGGGACCCTGGAGGCGTCCTCGCGAGCACGGCTGGGTCAGCTCCCTACCCCGGCCCGGGTGGAAGCTCACGCCGCCCATGCGGGCTCCGGGACCAAGAGACAGCCCCAAACCCTCCGCTTTAAAGGGCCTTACAACCCCCGGGGCTCCGGAGACACTGCGAAAGACTTGAATTCCCAGAGAGCCGCGGGACCCCAAAGGATCCTGGGAAATGTAGTCTTCCGCGAGGCCAATCGGAGGGAGCTGCGGGCAAAGTTCGCCAGCTCCCGGAAGCATGGGCCCCGGAAGTAAGAAACCAACCAACCAAAAATTACCGCTCCCTCGCCCCGCCCCCGTAGAAACTACGGTGGCTGTGAAGGCGTCGGAGTCTGGGTGGTGGACCAGCTATACAGTTTGTGGAAGAGGGTGCGATAGACACCATGTCCTTCAAGAGGGAGGGGGACGACTGGAGCCAGCTCAATGTGCTCAAGGTGAGAAGGGGGGGTAGTTGTCGCCCCTGAAATTAGGCTCACGCGTTGCCTCGGTAACCCCCCCAAGGGGCGGGGTCATGCGGGGTGGGGGGAAGAAGGAGGAAGGGATCCAAGGAGGGGATGGGGAGGGTAGGAGAAGAGAGGGAGGAGGGGATCCCTCATTCCTCCCCGTAGCCCCCGCGAGACCCAGAACTAGGCTTCACACACGGGACTTTTGCCAAGGCGCAGCCATTTAGAGGGATGCCGTTTCCATCTCCAACGTTTAGTTTGGACTTCTTTGACTTCTTATTGAGAAATCTCATTTATGTTGCAAGATGCAATCGGCCTTGTTACTCACTGCCCTCCTCGGTGCCCCCTGTCTCACTGATTGGAGAAGGGATGGGACAGACATCCCGTTAGACCTCTATTCATTTCCCACCCGCCTGCACTCATTTGGAGCTTCAGAATTCATACCCCTTCTCCTAGTTTTCAGCTTTCTTTTGTGTGTTGTCTACCCCCATGATTAGATTGTAAACTCCTTGAGGGCAAGCACTGGCTTTTTCATATTTGTGTCCCCAGCACTTAGCACAGTGCCTCTTCATATACGTATATTGACTGTTGAGTGACATTTGGGAGCGAGTCACAGACAGCTACTGGAATGTAAAATGTAAAATGTAAAAACATCCAGACCGCTTTTGCCCTACCCCTGTGACTCTACATCCCAGGATTGAGGTAGAAGGCTTCCTCTCCCTCTTCTACTACCCTTGGCCTCCTATTGATAAGGAGTCAAGATATCAGAAGACTTGGAGGGGACAGCTGAGTTGTGGGTGTGGGGAGGCATAGACCAGGTTCCCTGGGGGATAAGCTTTTCCTCCCCTGATCCAGTTGTGGCTTACAGGAAAGCCAAGCATGGTTCAGTGAGAATGATGATTACCTGTACCCCTGAGTCGGGATCTCAGGGCCTTCACCACAAAATGAAGTCGTCCATGGACTGGCACCACCCAACTTCCTTCCCAGGGCTGGCCTTTTGCCTCTTGGTCTCCCCTCCAGTTTTTCCCCTCTCCACCCACTGCCTTGTGCTCAGCACCAGAATTCCTGGTAACAGCCTTGGACCACACCTTGCCTCCTCTTTTTCTAGAAGCGGAGAGTTGGGGATTTGCTGGCCAGTTATATCCCAGAAGATGAGGCATTGATGCTTCGAGACGGACGGTGAGGTCTAGGAGACGTCAGACTTGAGGAGACAGATAAGGAGATGATGAGAAGAAAATGTTGATTCTTGAAGCCTTGGATTCCAGGAGAGAGAGGGACAGTGGTGGGTGATGGGGGGAGGGGATTGGAAGAAGCGCATGCTGGCAAAGGAGTAGGAAGACCTGGGAAGGGAGCAGGGAAGAATAGCCTTGAGGTGACCAAAAGCAAGGGTCCCTGAGCCTATTACAACTCTTTTACCCTCCTTTCCCCTCCAGATTTGCCTGTGCTGTCTGTCCCCACCGGCCTGTATTGGATACACTGACCATGTTGACTGCTCACCGTTCAGGGAAGAGACACTTGGCCAGTAAGGTTAAAAGCATTTAGGAGGTTAAAAGCAGAGCATTAACTTGACAAAGCCTTCCTGAACCATGCTGAATACTTCTTCTCTACCAGGCCTGCAAGATTTCTATGGCAAGAAGCACCAGTGGAAAGAAGAACAGAATCCAAAACAGCAGGAAGCATGGAGAACTGAGAAGACAGGGGACCAGGTAAGTGAGAAAGGGAGGTCTGTCCTAGGTAGAACTCTTGTCCTGGAAGGTTTGAAGTGTCTCATTCCCCCTAGGTCTGAGAGTATTTGTTTACTTCTGCTTCCCCATCAGGCACCTCTGCTGACCCAGACCCGTTTAATCACCCAAAGTGCCCTATGCAGAGCCCCGAATTACAACAGTTGCTGTCGACGGCAGAAGAACAGGTAATTTTGGATAGAAGAGAGAAAGAAACAAGGTGAAACAAGAGGATGAAGCAGGAGAATGGCAGCAATGGTTATAGAAGAGCAAGGAAATTAGAGGAACAGGAAGATGGGTGAGAAAAGGGAAGAATAAAACATGGGGCAATTAATCTAGAAGCATTTGTTACTAGACCATAAAACTCCATGAAGACAGGGATCTTAACTTTCTATCTTCCGACACCTTGCACAGTGGATGCATGATAACCATTAAATGGACACTTTCGATAATAAAAAATGTGAAGACGGGAATATCAAAGAGTCGAGAAGATGGGAAGGAGAAATCTCATGGGTTTCCATGTCAGGAATTGACTTAAATTTTCAAGAATAGGAGCCATTCTCCAAATGATAAATGGTCAAAGGATATGAACTCATAGTAGTAACCCATAGTAAACTTTGGGTATGGATGGGCAGAAAGATTACTAGAAGTTACTTTTGGGATAGGAGGAACAGAAGTAGATAACTCTGGTGTATTAGGAACAAAAGATGACTGGCTCCCTCCCCAACCCTGTAAACCTTTAAAATTCGATTTTATTTTATTTTTCAGTTCCAAATTCTCTCTGTATTACCCTTGTCCACCCATTAAGAGGTCAAGAAAGACAAAAACCATTACAAGTATGTATAGTCATACAAAACAAATTTCCACATTAGTCATGTCCAAAAAAGAGAGAGAAGAAAGTATACCTCAGTCTGCACTCTGAGGTCATTCTCTCTCTCCATCTGGAAAGGGTTAGCATATTTCATCATGAGTCTTTTGGAATTGTGTTTTGTCATCGTATTGATCAGAGTCTTTCATTGCTGATTACCTTTACAGTATTGCAGTTGTTATATAAATTGTTCTCCTGGTTCTGCTCACTTCACTTTATATCAGTTCTTACACATCTTCCCAGGTTTTTCTAAAACCATCCTCATCATTTCTTACAGAATAATATTCTATCACATTCATATACCATAACTTGTTCAACCACTCCCCAATGGATGTGTATCACTTTAGTTTCCAGTTATTTCCCACTACAAAAAAGCTGCAATAAATATTTTTGTGCATGAATTATTTTCCTCTTTCTTTGATTTCTTTGGGCTGTCGACCTAGTAGTAGTAGTATCACTGGGTGAAAAGATATATACCAGAGGCCAGGAACTTGCGGCCCCAAGGCCACGTGGCCTTTTATTAAGGGGATTTAGTGATTTGGAGTGTTTTTTCATATGTCTTAGATTTCTTCCTTTAAAAATTGCCTGTTCATATCCTTTGACCATTTATCATTTGGAGAATGGTTCTTATTCTTGAAAATTTAACTCAATTCCCTATGTATTTTAGAAATGATTCCTTTATGAAAGAAGTTTGCTGGAAAGATTTTCCCCCCAGTTTCCTGCTTTTCTTCCAATTTTAGCTGCTTTGGTTTTGTTTGTACAGAATCTTTTTAATTTTATGTAATCAAAATTACCCATTTTACCTCCTCTTTATCTCTTGTTTGGTCATGAACTCTTCCTCTGTCCATAAATCTGACAGATTATTTCTTCCATGTGCCACTAATTTGCTTATGATATCAGCCTTTATGTCTAAATCATGTGTCCATTTTGAGCGTATTTTGGTATATGAACACCGGAAATTTTGTTCCTTCTACCTCAGACCAGAAGCTCCTTCGCCCTCAGCTCCCCACCTCCCAGCTCGGCCCCCCCAGACTGAGGAACCTTCAGACAAGAAGGCTGGCAGAGCACCTAAGTCTGAGGGTGATATACAGGCCAAAAGGGATTCAGCAGCAGCCCCAACCCCTGTGCCCTTGAGTCCTGCCAGACGAAGAGCATTGGACCATTATCTGATGCTGCGCAGGTCAGTAGCCCACTGTATTGCTACTCTTATTTTCTTCTCTATCACCCTCCTTTTCTCTCTCTTCTTTGAACCTATTTCCTCATTCTGACCAGCCTTTTTTTCTCTGATCTTCTCAGCTCTGGTTGGATCCAGGATGGAAGAGGTCAATGGGTAAAGGATAAGAATGTAGAGTTTGATTCTGATGAAGAAGAACCCCCAGATCTCCCCTTGGATTGATACCCGATCTCCCCACCTATTTCATTTAAATAAATCAGGGAAGATGCTAGGAACCTAACTTCTTTCCTCCTCTGAGGTCTGGCTCTGTGTGCCATACAACTATCTCAGGTCCTTTTAACCCTGCAGGCTGCAGAACTCCCTATACCACACCCGCCCCTTCCAGAGCCATGCCAAGCGTCAGCTGCACCCAGCCGTCTGCCCTATTAATAAAGTATATAGGGCAGGACTCTGCCCTTTGAGTTGTCAGACACCTTCCCTACTTCAACTCCCCTTGCCCCCCCCCCCCCATTTCCACAGGGGCTTTTCCTGCTTTCCAGCAGGGCTTAGCCAAATTCAGGAGGTACTGAAGGAGCCAACACTGAGTGGAAATAAAGAAGAGGATGTGTGTGTTGGGGAAGCTCAGAGGCATAAGGGGACTGGTAAAGGGAGGGATTTCTCCCTCCCCGTAGAGGTAACCTGAGCCTAGAACCTCCTGATCTCCAGGGTATAAATAATCCCCTAGTGAACTGGCAGACACCCTGGGAAGGGGGGGTTGGTGTTTAATGCCAAGATCACCTCCCCATTTTCCCAGTCCCAGGCCAAAGAAAGAGGCAGGTGAAGTGGGCAAAAAGACTTTTATTTACAGGAAGGGGAGATGGGAATTCCAGCATCCAGGGGTCCCAACTTCAAACAATAGGGAAGGACAGCATTATGTCTTCTTCTGCTGCCGACCTGTGGAGGTAGGAGGAGTCAGGAAATGGGTCTATACCCAAGCTCTTGCTTTGAGCCTATTCAGGAGAATAATGTTCCTTCATTTATTATTTCCTCCCCAAGAACCAAATGGAAGGTAGTGTCTTAGGACATCTAACTTCTGTGCTCCTCTGTCCCCTTAATAAAACAGTCATCTGCTCCTAGAATCCATTCTCTGCCTACTCATATTGCCCAGGGATCTGTGTGGAAGTAATGTCACCAGAGAGATGAGGGCAGGCAGGAAGCCCATTTTACAGGCTGGAGAGGGGTGCAGAAGGGAAGAGCTTGCTCGTGTATGAGATCACAGAATAAGGAGGGATAGACAGCCTGTGTGTCCCAATGCAATGGCGAGCCATCTAGAGGAAGCATGTTAGCTGGCTTCCCTGTGAATGATTTATGGAAGGACATGAACTGAAGAGACACCTGGGTTTGGTTCTGTCCAGCTGAAGGGAGTGTCCCCATTGGTGAGATCACAGATCCATCGAAAGTCCACGGGAGGAACCTCACCCACTTCCAGGTTAGCCACTTAGAACCTCCTATGGGCACAGCTTGGTTCCTCCAATTTCTGTTGGAACTTCTCTAGTCAGCCACTTACTGACTTTAATGTTGGAAGGACTAACCCCGAGAGTTCTAAGCCTTGTAACTTCCTCCAACTCAGTGGTCACTTACGTAATTCATTGTTCCGGGTCACTGCTCGAGCTGCCCGAGCCCGAGGTCCTTGCTGTGTGAAATGGTAGCCAAATCGTACTATGGCTGGACAGTGCTCCAGCATGGCGGCCATCTCCATCTCTACAGCATCCCCTGGCCAGTGACGCTGGAAGGGTTGGGAGGAGGGGCGGGTGTCATTGACAAGGAGGGAATAGAGAAGACAGTTTGCCACCCCACCCTGGCCACTGACTATCCCTCCACGGTTACTGTGTCTTTGAGGGGTCAGAGAAGGGTGACTCCAGAGTTAGGGTAGTAAAGGGGCTGTCTTGATTCTCTGCAGAAAGTTCAGGGTTTGGGGAAGAGGGGCTGTCTTGGAAAAGGAAGCTATTAACCTGGTTATCCATCCTTAGTTAGGGTAGTAAAGGGGCTGTCTTGATTCTCTGCAGAAAGTTCAGGGTTTGGGGAAGAGGGGCTGTCTTGGAAAAGGAAGCTATTAACCTGGTTATCCATCCTTAGCTCGGTAAGTGTGGCATTCTCCCGAACGGCCTTTAGCACAGCCATGAACCCTGTACTGCTGATGAAGTTAGACTCAATGTTGAGGCTCTGAAGGCTCTTGTTCTCCCGCAGCATCTCAGCTATAGCCTAAATGACAGGAATATGGGGCTGGGTGAGCAGATGTCACCGGGGATAGGATGACCCAGGAGCCAGTGGGAAACAGGTCTCCAGGGGGGATTTTGAGGGACAATGAAAGCAGAGTGGAGCCGAGCAAGACACAACATGAGAGGAAAGGGGAGCACAGTGTAGTCCATGAGAGAAGGACCTTGTGGAACTTGTAGACTTAGAGCCAGAAGGCACCTTTCAGTGCTGTGAGCTGGGTCACTTCCCAGGCCAGAGAGAAGTAGGACATAGTGGGAGGAGGAGCACTGGACTTGAGGCCTGAGACCTGGGCAATCCCAGGCCACCATTTCAGCTGTAAAATGGGGAGTGGGGGGAGGTTGGACTAGATGATCTATGAGGTCCCTTCCCTCCTAACCATTTGAGCTTGTGATTTCATGTAAGTTTGGGTAATAAGGATGGAAGTCCAGGGGTAGGGTATACTGATGGGCATCCTTGGGGTCCCGGCTGAGGTGAGAGGAGTGTGATTGGGAGTGAATCCCCAGGACTCACATTGGCTACAGGGTCACCACTTCGTGTAGCTACGAGGCTGAAGCTCCGGACATGGGTATTCCCCTTCATCGCCTGGCACAGCTCAATAATTGTGGAGGCTGTGATGTCCTATCAGCAGGAAAGGGGATAATCAGGTTTCTTCCTACAAGGAGGCCTTCCCATTGGAATGCATCATTTTCTCCCCTGGGATGGGACCAAATTCAATACCTGCATATTGTTGAGGTTCACCTCCTCTAGTTCCTGGTCATTGTTCTGAACCCTCTTCAATGTCTCCTCAACATCCGTAGGGTTTGGTGGTTCGTCTGGCACCGGCTTGTATTTGTCAGGCTGCACCACACCTAGAGGGGATGGGGAGGAGGGGGGGAAATCCCCCGTGTTCCCCCATCCTTCATACCACATCCCATTCCCTTTAGCCCTTATGCCCCCGGTCCAGTGAGCCCACCCCTTTGGTTTTTACGCCTCCCCTCAGCACCCACTCACTGGTGATGCCTTCAGTGTTGCAGATTTCTCCACTGCAGATGGCATCGTAGTATTGTTTGTTACTCATCAGTGTGTACATGCCCAGAATGGCTAAGGGATGGCAAAGGGGTATGTGAGTAAAAGGAAGAGTGATACACTCAACCTCCCCCAAATCTTTCCACCAATCATTCTAGGGGCAGAGGAGGGGAAGGAGACGTGGCCTTAGCCCGGCAGGGACTGATGACCCTTCCAAGATGTTTCTTAGCCCTTTGCATACTTGCCCCTGTCCATACTCCATTAATACAGTGTATTCTTCTTTCCCCACATGACCAACCCCTCCCCCCACCTTTGTCGCTGGGATTGCCCACCTGCAATGTCACACATTTCAGCATCTGTGGCCTTGGCCAAAGCCTCCTCCAGCTCAGGTTCCAAAGTGATCTGTTCTTCCACAGGGATTTCCCTCTTAGGTTGGATGAATGGTTTCCCTGGTAGAGGGATGAAAGTCAGCAAAGGGAAACATTTCCAACCCATATCTTTGGTTTCCTGTCTGCCCTCCTTACCCAAGCTCCTCGATTACAGTTTGGTCAGATGACACGCATAGGTCCTATATAGGTGTGGGCATCATAAGATCTGGGTCTCCTATCAGACTGGGTATTATAATACCTAAACCCTGGTTGGTACAGAGGAGTGAGTGCTTAGGGTCTAGACTGTCAAGACACTCGGGACTCTGGGCTGGGACATGGAGCTGAGAGGAAAGATGGCTTTGCTGGGGAAAAGGGGAGAATTGGAGAATAGGATTTCTGGGTCTCTACAGGAAGGAGAGGGAGGAACTCGAGGTCCGATGTTGGGATTCCTCTTCCTCTAACTCCCAGTGGGGTACTACTTCACAGAGCCCGAGAAATATGGAATGGCCAGACAAGGGGCCTTGCAAGTGGGAATGACAGGCATGAGGGAGAGAGAGGGGAAACGGGGAAGTGCCGCTGATACAGAATAAAGTACTAGCAGGGTGGGAGGCCGAGTGCCCCGCTAAGGTTCCTGTACCCTTCTTCTCTCCTGTGAAGGGCACCAGGTCATCTCGCTCCTTAGTCTCCAGGGCCTGCCGTTCCAGGTGCTGCATCAGGGCTTCCCGGTCCAGGGGCCCCGTGGGGCTCTTCTTTGTCTGGTCACGCTGCCTTAGCCCGGCTGGCAGGAGCATGTTCTTGGGAGGGGGTAGGAGTGGGGGAAGTACCAGCTCAGACTCCCCACTCCCAAATCTGGGACACCCTTCGGGTGCCCTGAAGCGTCTTCAGATCCCCCATCTGACCCCCTTGCACCCTTAGGGATTCCCTGACCCCACCTCCCCGTAGTCACAGCCCTGCCCTGAGGACATCCTTCAGGTCCTCACTCTGGACGCTGCCTTCCCATCCGATGTCCTTACTTCGGGGTCCATTTCTTGTAGCTCATAATCCAGCTGCTCCAGCTCCTCAGGGCTCAGGCTTCTCAGGATCTCGTCTTCATCAATGTCCCTATACTTCTCCAGCTCCTTCTGATAGGATGACATGGTGGCCCACAGAGCCTAGGGAATAAGAGGGAATTGTTAGACCAGAGAGGTGCAAGAAGAGGTAATGGGTGAGGTGGAGATCCTTCAGGGAGTGACAAGGATCCCAGGCTAATGGGCGGCCCAGGATGCTTGGGTGGGGTGGGAGGCAGGAAGGATGGGGGACTTGGGCTAAGCATCAGAGATCTTTCCTCTCCTTCCCGGCTTCCCCAGCTTCCACTCACCCCAGATGAGGATCTCTGCAGGAAGAAGTCCTGGCAGCAACCCACACACCCAGCCCACACCCTCACCCGTCAACGCCTCTCCTGCCCCCTCACCCCCAACACAGCTGCCTGGGGTCCCTGCCAACTCTCTTGGGCCCTTGCCTAGTTCCTATGGAAGGAGGGGGTGGAGAGCTTCAGGGAAATTCCTGCTTCCCCCTCTCAATCAATCCAGCTCCCTCCTTAGACTAGGGAGAGCCTAGAGGGCTGAGGGAGTGGGAAGCTCTGGCCAGCTCTTTCTCTGGGCAATAGCAGAAGGCTCGGGGGTGGGCGGGCAAGGGGAGGGTGGGCTGGAACACTCTCAGAACTTTACTTCCAGTGCCTTCCAAACTTCTAAGTCCTAAGAGAGATCTGGGGCTCCAGGCCGGAGGAAACCTGGGGGGACCCCTCCAGGTGCAAGGGCTGAGGAATTACAGAGGCCAGAGGGAAGGTACTGGGTCCCCAGCATTTGTCCCTGCCCTTAAGTGGAAGGTGACACTAGCCCTGTTTGGGGGGGTGAGGGAAGAATGACTTCATGCCTCGTAATCTGGGGTCAGGTTCTTCTAGAAACATTTGGTGGGAGCTTGGGGGGAGGGAAGCACAATCAGTGTGGTGGGGAGACGTACACAGATATATACCCCACACCCAGACACACAAACCGGGACATATACATACACCGAACTCGAAATAGCCACAGTAGTGTAAACCACACAGAACCTCAGTGTCATGTAGACATACAACCTGAGTGACAGTGTTACATACACGCACTCAGCCTCCAACTCCCCATGATTCCCAATAAGAACCGCACTCTCCCACCCCTCCTGGGCTCCCCCAGCCCACCAATCCCGTCAGCCCCCTCCCCTCTCACCTCCCCTTCTGTCGGTCTGTCTGCTCTGCCTGGGCACTGACCGAGCAGCAGGAGGAGCCCTGTGCTGGGGGAGGGGGCAAGGGGAGCAGTGAGCTCAGCATTTTATTATTTTAGTTCTGGCCAGGTGGGGGGTGGGGGTGGGAGATCGCATGTACACCCCCCCTCACACACACCCAGCCCAGCCCCCAGCCCCCCTAGTGGCCAGTGGCAGCCATGGCAGCTTTTTCCATACTCTGCAGAAGAGGAGCG